CCCCAAAACCCCAAAACCCCAAAACCCCTCGTGGTGAAGGATGAGTGAGATTTATATAAATATATTTCGGTCAAAATGGAATCTAATCCAGAGATGGAAAGTCATAAATATCTGGATCAATTTACTAATGAAGAGTATAAAGAGAATGATCTTTTATCAATAGCTGAACTAGATGTAACTGGCATTGGACATATCCAAGACAGATATACAAAGAGGTTACAAGAGCTAGAAGCTTTGGTAAAGCAATCACAGATTGCTCTCAAGTTGTATTCATTTGAAAAAGAGCATAGCTACTTGACTCGTATCTCTCAGATCATCAATTGTCTGCATCAAGTAAGAGAAGAGCTTGACCAAATAAGTAAGGCTTCTTCAAGCCAGCTTCAATCTCTTAGCACTAGGTTGGATCATCTCAAAAGGCTGACTACAGAAATCTTGGAGAAGCATTGAGAAGTTTCTATTTCTGTTTATGAACAAAAAATCCAGGCCTTACAGTCTTTCGGTAGGTTATTATCCCTTTGTCCATCCTGGCTTGGACAAGCATTGATTCCTTAGGTTCACTAGTTAATATAGGTCAGGAGTGGGTGAAAGATTGACTTTATGATAAGAAAATACAGGAAGAGTCTACACAAGTGAACATTATGTGTTGTTTTAATCATTATACAAATAGCTCTTTATGCAAGACAACTATTTTTGAGAAGTTAAAGAGTTTTGACTTAATTATATATTTTCCTTGCGTAAGATTTATTCAGAGAATGAACGTGCTTTCCATGCTTCGATTTAAAACTATTCGGATTCTAAGCTTCCCTCGAAATTTGGAGATTATCAAAAGTACTCTGGACAAGCTACCTTTGGATGGATGTGAGAAGATCGTCCTATGTTCCTCTTCTAGGTATAATTCTCATATCAGCATCAGTCGATATATGACCTGAATTACAAGAAATAGACACAAAATTTTGAACCAAATAGATCTACAGATGTTCAGAATCAATGAGTCTCAGTTAGCCAGACTCTTCATTACTTTCAAGCACATTAAAAGTATTGGATTGGAGTATTGCAACCTTTCATTATCAGGAATCCCAGATTTTACTAGGTTTTTGAAAGCTACCTCTTTACAATACCTCGGTCTTTCAGGTTCAGAAAGTGCTTTCTGAAGCAACTGGGAGAACAACCCCAGTGCATTTGAAGACTTCATAAAATCCCTATCAGATTCAGACTTAAAGAAGAGTCTTAAAAGGATTCATATTGGGCCATCCTGTGCACTCACAAGAGGCTTAGTCACAGGAGTTTTAAACAAGAGCGGTCTTCCAAATGTGGTGATCCTGGGTCAATTCAGTGAAGAGAACTTATCCTTTAACTTGTTTGGTGATGATTATTAAGAGCCAGTCTATATCTCACATGGTTTCAATGAAATCTTCTTATCGCGGGGTTTTGGGGTTTTGGGGTTTTGGGGTTTTGGGG